TCTCCTTCCATTATCGAGGGGACCCTCTGGGCAAACATTTTTTGTAAGGACTCTGGGGGAATCAGTCCTGGGAAAAGTCCTGTGCACGAGACCCTACAGGTCCACTGTCCTCCGAGTGAGAGCCGCATGCCTCAGGAGGCCCCTGCTATCTAGCATGATAGGCCTGGAGTACAATAACAAACGTTGCGATGCTCCTGTTTGCCCGGAGGAAATACAAAATACTGAGGTGGTTAGGAGGGACCGCCCTTTTTATTCTAATTGTGGATGATGTGTTTCCTATTTCAGGTGGGAGGATCCCATCTCTCAGAGGCTGTCCTGGACGATGACTGTGGAAAAAAGTTTGCAACATAAAACAGGTAAATAATTAGGGATGCACTGATACTAGTATCGGTGCCGATACAGGAGTATTTGGACGAGTACTCTTACTCACCCAAATGCTCCGATACCTTCCCCGATACCGGAACTTCTGTTCAGAGGAAGATTTCCTCTGACCGGCAGTGCCGTAGGGGTAACATGGAGCCAGCTTCCCGTGCAATCAGGAAATGGGGGGCAAGTCATTACTCGCCGCCTGGCTTCCTGATTGGCCGGTTGCCGATTGACTGGAAAGCCGGCTTCCCAGGCAATCAGAAAGCCAGGCCCCATGTCATTACACGCCACTCGGCTTCCCAATTGCCTGGGAAGCCGACTCAATGCCAGCGGAAGCATCGGTACTCGGTATAGGCGAATAGCGGAAACAAAATATTGGTACTCGTACTCCATACTGAAAAACTGGTATCGGTGGATGGCTATAAATAATGCACCTGGCCCGTATAGGCCAGGCAGTGCTCAACAACCTCTTGAATAACATAAGGTATCCAATTATATTTTTTTACTCGCTGTAACTACAGTCTTGCACGTTAGTTTCACATTACGGCGATCCTTTAAAATCTCTTTCTGAAATGAGACTGATTAAACTATATTGAAGAAATATGCACACAAGAGCACAGCTATAAAAAGCCAATAAAACGTGTTGCTAATTTTACACTTCTTTAATATTTGGCAATACATCTCTCCCTCCCACATTTCAGAACAAAGTAACTGCTCCCAGATCGCTGCGGGTTTATGTTCTGTGTAGTAAATTTCTCATGAGCCTCAGTGAACACTGACACGAGTCCAAGCTGCTGGCTTTCATTAACTGCTCTTTTTCATGGCTTGGGATTCTAATATTACACTGCAAAATGACAAAGGGTGGGGCAGATAACCGCTTTCCATGTCGATCTAGTCAAATACAAGACGCGCTATTGAAGGGTTTCAAAAGCATTTCATTAGTGCTCATCCACAGTTCTGACACCCTTGTGACAGGCTTGTGCAGTCCAATTTAGAAGCAAAGCAGTGACATTAAGAGAACTATGGGGTCAGTGCTTTTCCCCATAGTTCTCCTAAGGGTCACGGGAGGACACAAAACTAGCCTCCTCCCTTGACCCAAAGCTCAATATATAGAGAGCTACAGCTCGCGGTATATTGAGACCGCCGCAGCCGGGACGGATCCCGACATTGCTGTCGAGATCGATCCAGCTGCGTGATTGACAGCTGGCTCTGACTATCTAGAGACAGAGCCAACTGTACGCGCCCCCTCCCGTTCCGCCAGTCAGCGCTTAGGGATTGAACAGGGGAGGAAGGGAATCCCTGCAGGGAGCCGTCAGTGACAGTCACAGCTCTCTGCAGGGACTACTGGGACAGGATCGAGAAGTGAGCGAGCGACGATATGTGTTCGCTCACTTTCCGATCTATTGAGCCGACGTGTGACAGTTTCATTGTCACCATCGGCCCGAACTATGAGGCTGGGTGTTTTTCACCTCACCTCAAGAGATCTCCTTTAAGGAAAGACAAGTTCCAGACGTGACAGAGACCTTAACAGAAATTTTTAATACAGTTAAAGAAGAGCTCCTAACAATTGTCTGGGTCTTGTCCTGGACACAGCTCAAGCCAGAGTATTTTTTCCACAGGAGAAACTTCAAACTTATATTCAAGCTCTACAGTCCATTAACTGCCTGACTCTCCTCTTTTGCATGAGAGCTTGATGGTAGCCTCCTTTGAGAGGGTCCCATTTGCCCAGTTTTACTCCAGACCTCTACAACACAACATTCAAAAGTCATGGCAAAAGTTAGTCAAGTCTTTGGAAAGACCATGTCATTTCTGACCAAGAACCAGGCCTGGTGGCCAAGCAATGTGGTTCAGGAATCAGGAAAGTTGTTACTTCCTGGCTTCTGGAAGATCCTCATGACAGATGCCAGCCTTGTGCAGGAGTCCTGGGAATGCTATCAGAGCAGACTTGGTCAGCGCCAGAGTCTCGTCTCTCAACATCCTAGAACGTTAGGTGATCCTCTAGAGCAGTGGTGGCGAACTTTGGCACTCCAGCTGTTTTGGAACTACGAGTCCCATGATGCATTGCAAGGCACTGACAGCCACAGACATAACTCCCAGAGGCAGATGCATGTTGGGATTTGTAGTTTTGGCACAGCTGGAGTGCCAAGGTTCGCCATCACTGCTCTAGAGGAAGCAATAAATGCTCTAGTGGTTCCAAATCAGTATACCCTCATCTATGCCTTACTTCTCCTCAATCATCCTTCTCATCTGCTTTTCATCAACGAGTTGGATTGCATTTCAGTGAAAGTTATTGCTCTGGCTTGGCGGAAGCGGACGTAGTATGCCGACCTGGTACTACTCCTGACAGACCCTATGTGGGCTCTGCCAGATCATCAGAATCGTCTGTCCCAAGAGCCCATTTGTCATCCTGCTTCACAGTGGCTGACTTTAATAGCATGAATGGTAAAGCCCAGGTTCTGGGGGACAAGGATATCTCAGCATCCAATGTCTAAACTGCTAAAAACTAGGAGGTTGACTTCTTCCAATGTTTATCATCAGACATGATTCATAACACTCACATTATCAAAAGGTCAGGTTTCTGCCCTTTCTATATAGTTTAAGAGGCTGTTGACCTCTCACTCTCTGACTGGGACCTTTGTAGCTTTCCCAGACTGTTCACCTGTGATTTAATGGGATCTGAATCTGGTTCTTTCTATGCTTCACAAATCACGATTTGAACCCATTGAAGACATTTGTCTTTCTACTCTCATCCTCAAGGTAGTTTTCCTGGAAGCGGTCAACACTGCAAGGAGAAAGTCTAAGTGGCAGCCTTCACCTGCAAGAACCTCTTTCTGGTTTTGATAAAGGGACAATGTGCTGTTGAGATCCAATACTTCCTCCTTGAATAAGATAACCTCTGACCATCACTTCAGCCAGCACAAAGTTCTGTCATCCCTCGGTTTCTCCACCAATTTTAAGTGGTGGCCTCTCGTCCTTGTCATGGAGTTAATTGTAAAATGTTTGCTGCTAATGTTGCTATCCCCGGTAAACATTTTGTACATGAAAATCATGTCCCCCCTTAATCTCCTTACTTCCAATGAGAACATGTTTAAATTTAGTAGCCTGTTCTCATAGCTCAGGTCTTCTGCTTCTCTTTTCCTGTCCAGACAGAAGGCTGAGGTTGGGGAGAAGACACCACTATATTCCTTTAACCACTTGAAGGCCATAGTGTTTCACCCCCTTCCTGGCCAGGCCATTTTTCAGTATTCAGCGCTGCGGTACTTTGACTGATGTTTATTCCGTCATGCAACGCTTTACTGAAACGATTTTCATACCATTTTTTGGGGACAGATAGAGCTTTCTTTTGGTGGCTTTTATTCACCACTGGGGTTTTTATTTTTTACTATATAACAAAAAAAGTACCCTAAATTTTTAAAAAAAACATGTTTCCCTATAAAATGTTATGAAACATTTTTTTTCACCCCAATTTTTTGGTAAAATATAAAAGTCGGGGTCACGTCGGGTAAATAGACACTAAACATGTCAACCTTTAAAATTGCGCGTGCCCGCAAAATCGCAGAAAACGACCGCAGCCAAAATTGGCCATAGGCGACGCTTTAAACGTTTTTACCGCTCATCAGTTTAGTGTCATCAGTGATTGATGGCCCTAGAATTATTGTTCTCACTGCGACGTTCGCGGCGATATGTAACATGTGCTGCATAATGGGCGCAATCGTCGGTTTCGTACATAGGCGCACCCGGCGCATGTTTGCATGTGTATGTGGGGGGGCTGGGGACTTTAAAAAAATGTTTGTGTTATTTTTTTAGCTTCTTTATTTTTTTTAATGCTGTAATTTATTTATTTTTGACTTCACTTTATTGCTATAACATAGGGGACTAAGGAATCCCCTATGTAATAGCCTGTTCACCAAACAGGTCCTCTTTATGGAGACATCAGGGGTCTCAAGACCTCTGATGTCACCTAGGGACCCCCACAGAAGCTGATGAAGCA